AATAAGCTAACAATAATGTAGTTCAAATTTGTTTTTGGCGAGAATCGAATTAAGACCTATCACTTACAAGTGAAGAGAAATACAACTAGACCGTAGTACTAAGTGGCAATATAAATTATCGTTTTATTAATATTTTTATACATAAGACATTTTTCCTAGAAGGCCATGTGCTTGACCAATATTTTTCTTCACTTCTCTCCCTCCTCCTTTGTTGTTTTATCACTTCTGACAAATCCTGATCCGGGATGTCCACTAGGACTTCGAATCGAGTTGTGTTAGCCGACACCTGGAAGGTGACGAAGCCATAAAGTGTATTGATGTGGAAGATGTCAATAAATTTAAACCTAAAAGTGCCTAAGTACAACAGTGCACGGTGAGTGGGTATGAACCCATTTCACACGTGATAACAGAGTATAAGTACAATACAGTAAAATAGGGTGTGAATTATACCATCGATGATAATTGTCTACCCCAAGATTTGCCAATAATCCTCGTCGGTACGAAAACTCTGCTACTAGAAACTGGAGGGGCGAAAAAAAAAGGGTGAGTGGGCTTAAAAATAAAGTTTTAATAAAAACCTTTTGAAAACGTTATAACCCTTAGCCGTAAAACCCGTATAGTTTTCAGAAAATAATACTACTACGTAGGTATAAAAACCAATGCACAAGAGCAATGAAAACTAAAGTATGCTATGTCATAATATCTCAGCAATGAAAAATGTAAGCCAGGTGTGAAACTAATATAAAATAGTATGCAAGTTGGAGTCATTTAACGTGACCTGTACAACTAGACTTGTAGCTTATCAATCTAGGCTAGCACACGAGTCGGAGTCACCTAGTGTGACCTGTACGACAGGTTGGGTATAAATATGTACGCTCAAGTGCTACGATCACGTAAAGGCTGTGCGACAATTCGCAGGGTCACCTACGAGTCGGAACCACCTATTGTGGTCTGTACGACAGGCTGACACCAGACTTGGATCCAAGGTGAGTGTGTAGTGCAAGAGGTGAACAATCACATGAAGGTTGTGCCCTAACCCCTGGCAGGAGCACTAATACCGGGGTGCAGCCATCATGAGCTTTAAATAAATGTGTGCATACCAATACAATACAACCCATTCAATCATATAATACTCACTTGAAGCTTACTTGCGCCTCCGTAGGATCATTTAACACAAACACATTTCATAACAATGCAACATTTAAAAATAATACATTTCCTAGACATGGTATGAAATGCAATACTCAATTTAAAACATTTCTGGAAACCGTAAAGTTTATATATATACACTATAAAAAGGAAAAAGACCTACTCACCTGAGGTCGGCGCTACAACTCCCTAGCTTGAATATCGAGATGTCACGAATGATCGGTGCCTAGAACAATTATCAAATCACGTCTCAAAATTCTTATCAATAGAACACATGACTTACATATCCTATTCGGGAAGATCCGTATGTCGGATTTCCGATCCGTAAGTTTCTAATATCCTCAAATATTAAGTACTATAATGTGTCAAAGTTTGGTGACAATCTAACGGTCGGATTGTCAATTCATTTATTAACCAAGTGGCAGCCCTTAACGGAAATATAACCAAACAATGGAAATTTCAGAAAAAGAAAGGTGGATTCAGGTCTAGCATGTTGAGGAACCTAAGGAAGGACCTCAGGTTTTTCCCCCATGTGTTGCCACATCTGCCGCCTCGCATGGCGGTTGGCTGCCCCGACTTCCTGGAAAATCTAACAACTTTGAAAATTTCCAAAATTTACAGTAATGAATATCTCAATGAGAGGAACAACTTTCATACCTGCGACTAAGGTCAATTTGTTCCGGAAAAGCCCCAATTTCACTAGAACCCGTCGAAAACCCTAAAAATGGGTGTCTTCGATCCCTCACCTCCGGTGCTCTGCCACCCCTATAATTGTTTGGGCTTTGTTCCAGGCCTTAAGGGAAGTCTAATGGTGGTGATAATTGGAAGAGGTAGCTTCAGGATTTGAGGAATTGTCGCACAAACCGTCGTACCCATCGACGGTTCCGTTCTTCATGAGACTAAGGCCAAACTTCTTCAATTTTGGGTGGAAATGGAAGATGGGATGACACCAAGTTGATTGATAGTATTGGTTGGCTACTATTTGTCGAAAAATCGTTGGAAAACTTGAAGAGAAACGGGCGGGTCGCGTGGGGAGGAACCGGGTCAGGGTGATCCGGTGCTCCTCTATTCCCTCATATCCCCTCCTTCCTCTCTCTCTGATTGGTCAGTTCCATTCTCTCTCCTCTTCCAATTCGCTTCACATCTCCCTTCTTTCTCTTTTTTATCTTCTTTCTTATCCGTTCATCTCTCATTTCCTTTAATCTCAGCCACACACGTGGCTTTTCAGATTTTGCTCCAAAAATCTGGAGCTTCCAGAAAATATTCAAATTACCATTTTGTCCCTATTTTTACGCACCCATAACTTCTTCGTTATAACTCCAAATTACGTTCTGTTTGCGCCCACGCATTCATAGCGACAAGTACTACAAGGAATTGCCAAGAAAACGAACCTTATGTGACATGACAAGATGGTCAACAAAAGTCAACGCCTTTGCCTCAAAGGGCATTTCCGTAAATTCATATTTAAAAATTATAAAGACTAAAATTTTTGGGGACGGGTCATTACAACTTCTCTCCCCTTACTTTAATTTTCTTCATTCTTTTACAGTATATTATGTATTATGTACACTTTAGTTTTAGTTTAAGATGTACACTTTGGTCTTAATCTGAGGCTTTTTATCTTTTGATTTATATTTATAATTACACTTTCTATCTTCCCATCACAAACTTGTAAATCTAGTAGTGCGAACTCAAATTTGATTCAATTTATGTTAAAATATGTGTTTGGTATTGGAAGTAGAAAATTCGAAAAAATATATACATATATATACATATATTTATATATATATATATATATATATATATATGATTTTGATTATAACCGTAAACCAGTAAGAATCGAAGTAAAACTATCATGAATCGAACCGCATGGTTTCAATAATAAATTTAAGCAAAACCGCTCTGCACCAAATTGAACCGTTGAAATTTTTTGAATCCAGCTCTGATTTGAGTGTGGAACTTGGCCGAACTGGACCGAGCCCATCCCTAGATTAACATATAAAAAGGTCCAATTGTCAACTTCCTTTTGTTGAATACAACAAATATTTTTATATGTTTTTCTACTTTGGGAAGTAGATTAACATTAAAAAAAGGTTTCAATTGTCAACCTCCTTTTGTTGAATACAACAAATATTTTTATATGTTTTTCTGCTTTGGGAAGTCGATTAACATTAAAAAAAGGTTTCAATTGTCAACTTCCTTTGGTTGAATACAACAAGTATTTTTATATGTTTGTCAACTTAGGACTTAAATTTCTTGTTTTTATTTTCAGTTTTCTTCTCCCTTTTTTCTGTCTAAGATTTTTTTTTTTCCTTTTTTTTTAATTTCTTTTTAATCCTTTTGTTTCAAGCTTTCAGGGTAGAGATACTCGAAGCTTGGCGAAAGACGAAACCTTTCTAGCAGCTGTGAACTAGAATTTTACAACTCCATCGGTAATTATTTTTTTCCTTTAGTAATTAATGTAATTTATCTAATTTCCTTTACTGATTTGTTTGTTTTTTTCTTTGCTGATGAATCAGGGAATATCCATTAAATATTAAATGTCACATCCCGGCCCGAGACGAATCACTTCCCGGGTCCACTCCACCACCGTAGCACGATATTGTCCGCTTTGGGCTTACCATTCCCTCACGGTTTTGCTTTTGGGAACTCACGAGCAACTTCCCAGTGGGTCACCCATCATGGGATTGCTCTAGCCCCTTTCTCGCTTAACTTCGGAGTTCCTACGGAACCCAAAACCAGTGAGCTCCCAAAAGGCCTCGTGCTAGGTAGGGATGAGAATATACATATAAGGATCACTCTCCTGGGTGATGTGGGATGTCACAATCCATCCCCCTTAGAGGCCCGACTTCCTCGTCGGCACACCACAGCCAGGGTTAGACTCTGATACCAAATGTCACATCCCGGCCCGGAGCGGATCACTTCCTGGGCCCGCTCCACCACCGTAGCACGATATTGTCCACTTTGGGCTTACCATTCCCTCACGGTTTTGTTTTTGGGAACTCACGCGAGACTTCCCAGTGGATCACCCATCATGGGATTGCTCTAGCCCCTTTCTCGCTTAACTTCGGAGTTCCTACGGAACCCGAAGTCAGTGAGCTCCCAAAAGGCCTCGTGCTAGGTAGGGATGAGAATATACATACAAGGATCACTTCCCTGACGATGTAGGATGTCACATTAAAACAAAACTAGAATATGAATTTAAATTAAATAAACGGACTAAAATAAATAATTAATTTAACACTAAATTTTATTAAACTTTAATTGTTCAAAGATTAAAGTTCAAAAACTCCATTTCTCAAAATTCAATCGACGGTTTGCAACTTTTGTCTTCAATAACTTTTCTTATTTTCTTCCACTACTTTTCCTCCTAACCAACAAACCAACCAATACCAGATTTCAAACCCACAGTTTCCACTCCTTTCCTTATCAAACTTTTGTCTCATCAACTTTTATTATTGTGTCTTCCACTACTTTTCCTCCTAACCAACAAACCAACCAAGGAAAAGGATCACCGCCAGATTTTTTTTTTTGAGGATCTAGAAAATTCTTTAATTGTATCCGTTTATCTTACATTATGTGATTAGAAATTATTTAAAATTTAAAATTTAAAATTAAATATAAATAATACCTAATAAAAATTGACCGTACGATATACAATGAACGAACATAATCACGAAGTTCCTAAGAAAAAGATCCCTGATCCTTTTCCACCGACCAATACCAGATTCAAATTTCAACAGTACAAGACAACCAACTGACCAAAAGTGATGAAAGATAGAAACAGGGCTTTGTGCATGCAAGCTGGAAAATAATATAAAATTCAAAATGAATGATGGCCGAAGGATGTGTTGTGAACGGATAAGAAGAATCTCGTAGAGATTAACATATCCATGCTATACAAAAAAGGAAGAGACCGGCACTTGTAAGAAGAAACAAACTCCAGTACGAGGTGAGGAAGCTAGGCTAGAGAGAGAGAGATGGAAGAAGTTGAAAGCAGAGAATGGTACTTGGCTGCTTATGCAGCTGAAGGTGTTCCAACTTCTGATCATCTCAAACTCCGTACGGTCACACTCTCACTATCCCCTGATTCCATTCCCGAACAACATGTCATTCTTGAGATCCTCTTCATTTCCGTCGAGCCATATTTACGCAGCAGAATTACTGGCCGGGAAGATGGGCTATACAGCCCCCAGTTCAACCTTGACGAGGTTCGTGCATGAATACCAGAGTACATTCAATCACACATGTAACATGTGTTGCAATGTTGTGATTTATGGCTCAAAATTAGAATGATGCATAAATTAGATTTGTGTCACCTATTTTGTTTGGGTGTATCATTTGAGTTTGGATCTGACTTCTTGGTTAAATTCTTGGTTGGTGATGAGATTTTGTTAATTACTTATTCGATTAGAATTTAGATTTACTTCCAACTAGGATTAAGATTCTCATTATAACCTAAGTTCTATACACTATAAATAGGACTTTAGGGTTAGTTTATTTTGTGTCTCACCTTCAGTTTAGAGAGTTTTCTCTCATTTGGTTTTGGATGGAGATCACCGTTTGGACTCATGAGTGGCAAATTCATAGCTCATTCGTTTGACAATTTGATAAGAGTCAATTTGTGAGCTAAAGAGTTAGAGAGCAATTTGGGAGAGACTACTCTGTTTGTTTTGGGTTCTCTACTCATTTGGTTTAGGGTTTGTAATTTGTGGGTTTTTTTTTTTTTTTTTTTGGTCAAACGATAGGTTTTGTTAGATTAGCCACCATGCTGTCATGTAAGGCTCAAGTCATTTCCATCACTATAGTAAATGGTCACTTGCTAATTTGTGGGATTTGAGTTGTGAGAGTTAAACATTTTTTTGTAATCTCTGTTTGTTTAGTGAATTTTCTCGTTGTGTTTCACCTGTGGACGTAGGCTTTACGCCGAACCACATTAATCTCCATTATTCTTATTTTGAGACTCTTGTTTCTCCGATTTCGCTTACGACATTGATATTTGATATTTTATTAGAATTTACTTCTGTTTGCACATAAAAATAGAACATGCAAGCATGCTTAAACATTGATAACAAATTTACTATAATTTATTTAAGCAGGTAATTGCAGGATTTGGGGTTGGAAGGGTAATTCGGTCATAAGATAGTAATTATGTTGAAGGTGACATAGTCGTCAGTGCATTCACATCTTTTGCTGAATATTGTGTGGTACCATCCCAGTTCGTGGCAAGAAGGATCGATCCAAATAATGGGATTCCCTTGCCTGAATATATCAGTTCGATAGGTAACAATTTTCTTTCCCAATTTCTCTCCTTTCGCATTTTCCCTAGCCCTGGTAGACGCAACAACACTCCTATTTTAGCCTCTGCACTATAAACCGGACATTCTATAATTTTTCAGCGGTTACTGGATTATCAAGAAGCTCAAATCAGAGTGCGGTTTCGTATTATTTCTTTTACTTAAAAATAATTCAAACGAAAATTAATTGTGTAATGGCTAACCCACTGTGGATGATAAAATATAGGGGTGCCGGGGTTTGCAGCATGGGTGGGAATTGAGTTGCTGGCAGACCCAAAACCAGGATCCAATGTGTTCATTTCAGCTGCTGCAGGGGCTGTTGGAATGTGTGCTGGACAGTTGGCCAAGCTCAGAGGATGCAGGGTCATCGGAAGCACCGGATCAGATGAGAAGGTAAGTAGTTTAAACTTTAGAAAATGCTCTAATCTGTCACTAATTCAAAGTGAATGAAATACCACTGTTTCTCGGATTAAAAAAAGAAAGAAAGAAATATCACTGTTTCTGTCACGTCCTGATCCCGAGATACACTTAAGATCGATATGTGGCAACTGAAAGTAGCAGTATAATAATAAATAGAGTCAACTGAGACTTATACGTAGGGGTGGTTCGGTATGGGATACCGAACCGAAAGTAGTATCCCGAATCCCAAATCGAAATGTTTTGGGACGGGAATTTGAAGACCAATCCCAAACCAAAATTTCGGGAATCCCAAATTTCGGGAATCCCGAAATATTTTCGGGATTTCGGGACAAATCGGGAATCCCAAATTAAAATATGAAATTATGAATTATTCTTCAAATATATAATTTAAGAACACATTCATGAACTAGGAATGTTATTTCATTCACACTACCATTTAATCAAATATTGGCATGCTTGATTGTTTTTATCAAAGTCAAAATTCAAATTAATTAAACCCTTTTGACAATTTGTTAAGAGACAAAAGAATCAAATCTTTTGAAATCATTAGCCATGACAGCAGCAATAATAAAATCCAAATGAATATCAAACAGAACATGAAAAATATACAAGGTGTAAGGCATTCCAGGTTGCAGAGCAAGAATTAGAAACTACTAGCATCAATTATAAAAGAATAATATATAATATATATGTATAAATTAATAATATATAATTTCGGTTTGGTATGGGATTCCCAAAATATTGAGAAGTCAATCCCAAATCCCATACCAAAATTTCGGGATCGGTTCGAGATAGCATCCCGAAAATTTGGGAAATTTCGGTTTGGGAAATTTTTGGTTTGGGATCGGGATTTTTTCGGTTTGGTTTGGGATTTTCGGGAATTTTTTCCACCCCTACTTATACGTAATATACATCAGATAATTAGCGAAAACGAAATTACAACAAAATTAAGGAAATAAACACCACTATCGAGTGCATTGAATAGCTACACCCTTCGAAAACCTCTTCTATAGCCGCTACCTCTTACCCTGCAAAACAACTCTATGTCGTGGGATTGGCACACCAGGCACTGCAAAACAACTCTATGTCGTGGGATTGGCACACCAGGCAAAGCCAAAACACGAATAAGTTGCGAAGCTTGTGTGAGTGACAATAATACAACATAGGTGTTTTAAAAACAACATTTTGCTATCCTTTATAATGGCAATTTAATACCAACTGCTTTCGGTGGTAGGACAATAATAAAAAGGCCTCGCTCCCTGTTACACCCTGAACCCGATGTACGTCCAGGATCGACACGCAACATCACTAAGTACCTGTATATCTAAAATACCCCGCTTCTGGGATACGGACAAAGCACAACTCAAGCTTCAAATTGCATAGTGATTTTTCGTTTACTCTATGGCTGCATCTAAGCTCTTTGTTAGACTACCTACGTCTGACTGGATCAAGCCATTCGAAGTTCACCATTTGTTAAACTCTGAACTTTTCGTAAAACACTTTCTAGCAGACAACATAAAGTACCACACTACACATCAACCATAAGCCAAACAAGAGTTGTCATCTTGCCATTCACACACACATATGTTTTCCAACACCATTCCACAATCATGTCAATTAATAACTCATACAATACACCAAAATGCAAGGCTAAAGTGACATGGTTCGGTCGAAGCCTACATCTTTGAAGAATGTGATTTCAGACCACTTAACGAAATCCAACAACATCGGGTTCCGAACCACTCAACGGAACCAAAATACCAAGTGGGATTCCGAACCACTCAATGGAATCCAAACCAAGATACGATTTCGGACCACTCAAAGGAATCGCGAAGTTGAAGGGATTCAGGACCTCTCAATCGAATCCAAGTAGATACGATTCTGGATCACTCAACAGAATCACAAAGTAAAATGGATATCAGACCACTCAATGAAATCCAAAGCAGTATACGATTTCGGATCACTCAACGGAATCGCGGAGCATGAGGGATTTCAGACCACTCAACGGAATCCAGACGAAGCAGGAAACTGAACCACTCAACGGAACCCCGGCAAAACCCAGTTCTGGACCACTCAATGGAACCGAGCGGAAGTCTAAGAAGCATAACAAAGGCTCGAAGAAACAAAACATGAATCATGTGCTCAATTTACAAAGGCTTAACGAAATGAAACAAAGAACAAGTACTAAATTTAGAACGGGTCAACGAAGCGAGAAATGAAACAATATCGAGGTAAACAAATCTCCATGACAATAGGTTAACGGTCTACTACTAGCCCTTATATTTAACAAACAATCCAACATGCATTTCAAATCACATTTCACAAATATTCCTAATGCACAAGTCAAATCACATTTCAAAATAACAGATCAATGGCTAATTATTAAAAATCACATTTTAATAGAAAACACATTTATAAAACTAAGTCATCTCCACAAAGGATATTAAATACGAAATCAAGGTAATAGCCATATCACATATATTAAAGTTACTCACTAACCAATGTAGGCCCACTAGACTTCACCAACGTAGGTTAAAGAGAAGGACCAGGTCGACCGGCTCCCTCCTCTCTCATTCCTTTATTTCCCCTATTTTCCTTCCTTCCTGATTGGCCCGTCTCTTCTTCATTTCCCTCATTTCCTTCATTTCTTTCTTCATCTCTCCATCTTAGCCACACACGTGGCACTAAATCAGTGCTACAGCAAATCTGGAGCCTTCTAGATAATGGTCAAATGGTCATTTCGCCTATGTCTTTGCTCTTTTATATCTCATTCGTTATAGCTCTATTTGGAGAATGGTTTTTGCCTACACACTCGTGAGATCGAGCTCTAGCCAAATATGTAAATAAAAGTGGCAAAAGATATAGGAATTAAATTCGTCCTTGAAAAGCCTGTTTAGTTCATTAAGGGCGTTTTCGTCCTTTTACTTATCGAAAACAAAAAAATTATACGCTATAATTATAAACGCGTCGAAACTAAGAATACGAAATACGTAATTTTAAATAGTGAAATCCAGGGACAGGATTTCCCACTCCCAAACACGATGGCTGTTCTCCACTAACCACAAGGATACATGGACTATATTTCAACTTCAGTGCTATTGCTGGAGTGATAGGCACATGCTTCTCAATACTGATTTGTATGAAATTAGCACGATCAAATTCTTAGTGGTAATCATCAACTTTATAATGTTTTAATAACGGCTCACGTTTTTTTAATGATCTTCTTTATGGTTATGCCGACGATGATAGGCAGATCTAGTAATTGCTCTGTTCCAATTTTGATAGGTGCCATCACTCATAATTTCTCGATTGAATCCACATAAGCATTCAACCGCCCTTTTCATGATTAATCCACATAGACACTCAATAATCAATTTCACATATACAATAAAATCATAGGGCTAGAGCCACAAAGATCACAAAGTTCAGCATTCCAAAACCTCTCAAGGAATTGGATAACAAGGACGCACAAAGTAAGGTTCCAAAACATCCCATGGAACTATATAGAAACTATGCACAGGGTTCCTGAACCTCTCAAGATACCAGAGTAAGGTTCTATAACCCCTCATGAAACCGAACATAAGTAGTGTTCCAGAATCACTCATGGAAACTAGTGACAATCAAGCAGGATTCCAGAACCATTAATGGAATTAGAAAGAAAGGTAACACGCTAGGGATTTAATATCCACACAAGAAACAAGAAAGGAGGTACACTTGGTATCGATCATCTACTAGCCTTCTTAGTTCGCAATTATTTCAAATATATATGTATATATCTCATTTCACAAAGCAGATCGATGACTGGGTAATAACATTTGTAAGTCCATGTTATACGCCTAGAGTATATAACGAGGGAATTTCATATGCAAAATACTCATCACATAATATTAAAGTCAACTCATTTGGAGCCTAACGCACTTCTAGAATCAATACAATTGAATCATCATGCAAAACTATGTGCACGTCATTGAACGTTATGTGTCCCTGATGGGCCAACAACGCTCATATAGAACCTAATATCGTACATAACTCTCCACTAGGCAAACTTATGAAATTGATGCGCACAACAAGGAACCGTGCTAATTGCATGTAAACCGAGACACACACCAACACGTCATCGTGATGAGCCAACTAAGCTTCATCAAGCCTTAACAACTTTTGACTCTAATTTCAAGACGATCTAATAGTCAGATTGCCATCAATTATGAAAATCATACGACGGTATAATTATCCCAAAAATCAAATAATTGAATTATCCTATCCAATTTCAACAAACGAACCTTGGTTATGAGCTCAGGACATCGAGAATGTCTCAATGTCCAAAATTCATGTTTTCAAAATTTTCCCCATGAGCCACCGCGTGCGGTGGTTTTTGGCAAACAAAAACCCAGTTTTCTGACTACCTCCAAATAACACCAAATTTACAGGAATATAGAGCTCAATAGAAGGAACTTTTATACCTATGACGAAGTCTAAAAGTGGATGTAAGACGATCGATTTCGCAGGTAAAGGCGGCGAAGGGTGCACAAAACTTCACAACATCGATTCATCGCCTATGGTGGTCTAACAACGTTGGGGTTGGTCGGGTTTTCCTCTTGGGATGAAGAGCTACAAAGCCCAGGTGGTGGCGTCAGTCCCCTTTTTGCAGATTTGCTGGAATATGGGTAAAGGTCGCCGAAACTAGTTGGTTTGCGTGGATTTTTGTGGCCTCGCACCACCATGTACAGTAGTCAAACAAATGGTTCTTGGATGAATTTTGTAGAGTGAAGTATGAGCTTCAAGATAGTGGTGGTGGCACGATCTAATTTTTCATTAGTTGGCCTGTATTTGCATTTGAAACGGCTTAAGAAACGGGTCGGTGTTGTCGACTGGTTCGCGATTGGGGTTCTAGTGCTGCTGGGTCAGGTTTCTAAAAATGGAAACCGTTTAATTTTGGCAAATCCTCTTATAAAAACTTATTATTATAATGTCTAAATTACCAAATTGCCCTACACTTAAGCCAGTGTTTAAAACACCGTTACCGGTGAAAATATCGATATGCAAATTTATGAAAATATCGACGAATGTATCAAATATCGATATTAATATTGGTTGCCTTCGATGGAAATGATGAAAATTTAAAATGAAATTTTGGGATTGTCAAACATTGGTTTGGAAGAAATATAAGAGTTTCTCTGATATTTAACAGATGTGTCAAAAATATCGAAATATCTGTCTATTTTGGTCTAAACTTAAAAGTTTCTCCAATATGAGGTGAAGTTTAGACTTCAGCCCCCATTTCCATATCTTTCTCTAATATTTTGTATATTTCCATAGAAAGATAGATCGTATCCAAGAAATTTTAAACACTGCTTAAAACTTCTTTGTTTCAAGTCCAAATTGTGAATGGTTTTTCTCTAAATGCTTGTGGGATCAAATCCACCTCCAAATGCGAAAGCAAAAATTAAAATGACTAAAATGCCCTTGAAATTGTTTTTCTCAAAACTATAAAATAAATAAATAAATTCTGGGATGAGATATAGTTACATTGGTTAGAAGTGAACAATTAGTTAGTTGCTTAAGTGGCATTTCATTCAGTTCGAACAATAATAGTGGTAAATTAGAGTATTTTACAAAATATTCTAGAAATAATAGATTATATTTAGTTTTCATTCCATTAGAAGTTTATTCATCTGCACCAATATCATTCTCAATGCTGTGGTGGTTTCTCGTCCCATGTATTGTCCCTGACTGAAAATGAGTTAACTTTATACGTTAGTTTATGATAGTGAACAAACAACACTCCATGTAAATAAAGGAAAGAAAATTGGTTTGTTGTTATTTTATGGTCAATTATTTAATTTTGGTCACCTAACTATTACACATCAAGGCATCTAATTAACCATCTTAAGAAGTTGATGAAATATACTCATGTCTGTCGCCTACTGCTCAACTATTTACAGAAACTCGTACGCTCTTGTGTGTGGCCGGTTGTTTTTCCCTTTTTGTTTTTTATATATATTCATTTTTCTTGAGCTTATTTGAGAGATTTCTGGTGGAGCCAAAACTCTAATGTATTTTAAAGATTTAATTGTCTATGATTAAGGTCTTCCCTCAAAGAATCTCTACCACAAATCACTCAAATTTAAAATCATACGACCGTTTAATGTAATAGTAGTCATTTTAGTGTTTTTTAGGAGAACCGTATTCGTGTATTTTATTTATAGTAATTGGATGTTTAATGATTTTATATTTGTCTAATATTTTGCAAAAATGATTGAATTAAAATATAGACAGTTCAAGTATATAAAATGGACATTATACTTGTTTCAGGCCCCATTAGCGCTAATATTGTGTAGTCTAGCGTTAATCTGCATTCTGCACCATTGACACTAGTGCCAGGAGTACTACATTTCCGTGCGCCACTATAAGTTGCATTTATATTTAAAATGAACCAATAAACCGCGACATGACAAACAAATATATATGAATTATGAAGATGATGTAAAGTATGGAATTGGAGTCGACGATGTATGAACTAGAAAATAAATAAAAAAATTGCTTTCATAATCCACTAAAGCGAGACATGACAAATTAAGCGAACGAAAAATTAGTAGTTAAGATTGTGACGTACGCATTATTATCGTTCATTTTTTCATTGAAAATATTTCTATTAGGGTTCACTCATTGGAATTTCTGCTTGTCGCCGTGTTATTAGGATTTATACAGTTGATCTTAATAAGTACAGAAAATTCTTAGTAGAAGTGTAGAACATGGATTCTTTTTATTTATAGAATGCTGATGAATTAAATAATAATCTCATGAACTATCTTATATAGTATTTGATATGATGATGTCTTCAAACACAATGATGTAAACCTCTGAAATTTAACACATAGACTTCTATAACTCTGATTGATTAATTTGCCATTTCCAATATTGCTGATATTTTGTGGTTCTTAGGTGAGGCTAATCAAGGAGGAATTTGGATATGATGATGCTTTTAACTACCACACAGAGACAAATTTTGATGCTGCTTTAAGCAAGTAATTAAATTAATACTATCATTTAGTAAAGTTAGGATTATGATGATTTTGACGAAGCGTACATGAAGACTCATGTGAAAGATTTCCTTATAATTTGCAGGTATTTCCCTAATGGAATCGATGTCTACCTTGACAATGTTGGCGGTGAAATGCTTGAGGCTGCTCTCAACCATGTCAACAAGCATGCCAAGGTCCCTCTTTGTGGCATGATATCTGGCTACAATAAGGTAATTTAATACCATTACTATCCTTTGTCTATTTAATTTTCATGATGAAATTTTAATGTTTTTCTTAGAATAAAGTGTTAGTCAATTTCTTTGAACTCAATTAGATGTCTCAAATATTTCTGATTTGGCTAATATTTTGTAAGGATGATCTATGAGGTGTAACTTGAAAAATAAAAGGTTCGGATCGTTAAAGTTCGATATGGTGTGAGTCCCAACTCTAATCCCTATTTTTATAAAAAAAAATAAGAATCTCTTCCCTTAAAGATCTCCATATATATACATGTACTTTAATTGTGTGTGAGGATGACCCAATTGCACATGCATAAAAAGACGTTATTGGAAATTTATGGATCTAGACATGTACACATGGTCGTCCGTTTCTCAACTGCAAAGCTCGTCTCTATTTTGTGCAGGTTTGGACTGAGAGAGAGGGGGTGAGGAATCTGTTGAATTTAATCGGAAAGGAGGTGAATATGCAAGGGTTCATGGTGGGTTCATATGTGCATCGTTTTGGAGATTTTGCAACCGAGATGGAGAGCCACCTAAAGCAAGGCAAGATTGGTTATTCTAAGCTCAAAATCTTCCATGGAATTGAAACATTCTTGGAAAGCTTGGGGTCCCTCTTCACCAGCTCTAATGTTGGAAAAGTTGTAATCCAAGTCAAGTGATTTTTTTGGGTTGAAGTAAATCTATGTTAAGGCATTAATGCTTCATGAAAACGATCTAAATAGGACATGGTTTTTGGTTTGGGAAATTCAAGTCTCCAGATTGGCAACTTCTTAAGAATTTAAAAGCGTTTGTACTAATTATTTTCAATAAAATTATTTGCACACACAAAATTAACATACTTGTTGACACATTTTTAAATACAGGTGGACTCTACCATTATGTATAAGTTAGTGCTATCCACATGCCTATTTTTATTTCTTACACACTCCTCTTAATTTTTGACGATAAGATCGAATGAATTGAAGAAGATTAACAGGCCAAAAATTAACAACGGTGTGTCAGAGACAAAAATGGATATGTGAATAACACTATCCTATATAACCACCATGGGTAGCCTAGTGGTTGAGTATGAATTCCAGACCCCTATTTCACACAGTACGTGCTGTTTTTGATTCCTGGTGCTAGTGAATCGCATGATGGTGGCTAAGGGAAGGTTGAAATGTCTCCGAAAGTCTTTCTGACCCTTAGAAGGGTGTACTGTCATTGCGAAATCACCAATTGTGCCCCTTGTCAATAAAAAAAAAAAACACTATCTGCATGTATTTGGATCCCACCGTAAACAAATATGTCCAAATAGCATTACCCAATCTGTTGAGGTATCCTTAGCATTACTAAACTGACCAAAGTAGACTTACATATATTTAAGGGTAAATTATATTTTACCACATCACAGATTTAGATGCATTATAACCTCATACAATATTTTTAAAACATTTCAATTTCATACACAAACTTATATTTAGTTGTAATTTTATACATTCATTAGTCAAACTATCAATTTGACCACTAAGTGATGACTTGACAAATGTATAGCTCACATATTTTGATGACATGTCATACAAAAATATTTAAATATATATATAAAAACTATTTAAATAAAAATGTAAATTAATACAATGGCAAAATGGCCCACCCTCTCTTATCCCACCTTACTCAACAAAGGGCCTCCATCTCCATCTCCTCCTTTCTCCATCACCACCACCCATCCCATACAACCACCGTGTCAATCCTGCTCCTCATAATCACTAAACCCCCTTCTCTAATTTTTCCAATTTCGTCTGATTCTTCTTCTTCCCTAAATCTCCACCAAAAATTAGAACTAAATATTTTCAATTGACACCTCCGATCAAAATATTCGATTTTCCCTTAAAAACTCGTCTTAAGCAAAAAAACTTGTGTAGGATTTGGCTTGCCACTGGACAATGTTGAGTAGCACTACCATCCACTCAAAACATGCCACTTAGTAAGCATTATTTACAATATTTATTATAACTTTATATATAACTTTTTCATAATAGAATTTTCTACTAAATCATCACACCTCCCTTTTGTTTCTCAATTCCTCCTCTCCTCTTTCTTGTTAGATTTTCTTCCTAGTCACGTATTGTCTCCTTTTCCCCTTGCTTTTCTTTGAAAAATCTGAAAAAAAATAAGAACACAGCTTGTCTAACTTTTCATATCATGGAAACTAGAAAGCAGCTAATTTTGTCTTCTTTTTTTTTTCAATATAGTAGCTAGTTTTATCATATGAACTTGACTTGATTAATACACGAATATCTAATGTCCAACAAAGATGATACAAATTGAATCTACCATTTTCAAATGGAAATTTCCTCATAATTTGCTGTACAGAAATTCAAACTCCATAAGAAGAGAAATGGTGCTTACATGATTCTATTGGTTCATTCAAAATGTATGCAGTTGATGATTTTTTAAGGGTGGTTGATTTTCTAAATCACAACACGGTTGATGGTTTCTTTGGTTCTAAAGTGAATTCTTTTTATTGTCTTCCTATTGCTGCATATATCTGTGAAGAAATGCAAGAAAAGGAGTGGGACAAGCTGAGAAGGATAGTAGACCCACTCAGCATCGACTAGTTGCAAGTCAAGCCCCACACAAGTTTTTCTCCTTAAAATGTTCAATTATCAACTTCGTTTTGTTGAATACAATAAATATATTGCCTAATCATTTTTTTTGTCTAATTAAAGATATTATTGAATATATTAGAAGTTAGGTACTTGCATTATACATGCTATACAAATTAAAAAGGAAGAGGCCGGCACTAAGAAGAAACAAAATCAGTATAGAAGGTGAAGAAGCTAGGCTAGAGAGATCGAGAGAGAGAGAGAGATGGCAGAAGTGGAAAGCAGAGAATGGTACTTGGCTGCTTATGCAGCTGAAGGTGTTCCAACTTCTGATCATCTCAAACTCCGTACGGTCACACTCTCACTATCCCCTGATTCCATTCCCGAACAACATGTTATTCTTGAGACCCTCTTCATCTCCATCGAGCCATATTTACGGAGCAGCATCACTGGCCGGGAAGATGGGCTATGCATCCCTCAGTTCAACCTTGACCAGGTTCGTGCAAGCATACCATAATATATTCAATCGCACATGCATGTAACATGGGCATGCAAGCATGCTTAAACATTGATATCAAAATTACAGTTTAAGATTATAATTTATGCATGCAGGTAATTACAGCATTTGGGGTTGGAAGGGTAATTCGGTCAAAAGATGGTAACTATGCTGAAGGTGACATAGTCGTCAGTGCATTCACATCTGTTGCTGAATATTGTGCGGTACCATCCCAGTTGATAGCAAGAAAGATCGATACAAATAGTGGGATTCCCTTGCCTGAATATATCAGCTTGTTAGGTTTCAATTTTCTTTCCCAATCTCTCTCCTTTTGCATTTTCCCAAGCTATGGTAGAGGCAACGACACTCCTATTTTAGCCTCCTGCACTATAAACTGGACGTTCTATAATTTTTCAGTGCTCACTGGATGATCAAGAAGCTCAAATTAGAGTTCCGTGATCATACTTTCTTTTACTTAAAAATAATTCAAACGAAAATTAATTGTGTCATGGCTAACCCACTGTGGATGATAAAATATAGGGGTGCCGGGGTTTGCAGCATGGGTGGGAATTGAGTTGCTGGCAAACCCAAAATCAGGATCCAATGTGTTCATTTCAGCTGCTGCTGGGGCTGTTGGAATGTATGCTGGACAGTTGGCCAAGCTAAGAGGATGCAGGGTCATCGGAAGCACTGGATCAGATGAGAAGGTAAGTAGATTAAATTTTAGAAAATGCTCTAATCTGTAACTAGTTCAAAGTGAATGAAATACCGCTGTTGCATTGTTTAGAAGTGAATAACTAGTTAGTTGCTTAAGTGGCGTTTCATTCAGTTCGAACAATAATAGTGGTAAATTAGAGTATTTTTCAAAACATCCCAGATACAATAGATATATAGTTTTCATTCCAGTACAAGTTTATTCATCCTCAATGCTATGGTGGTTTCTCGTCCCATGTATCCTCCTGACTGAAAATGGCATCTAACTAACCTTCTTAAGAAGTTGGTAAAATATACTCGTATCTGTCTCCTATTGCTCAACTCTTTACAGAAACTCGTACGCTGCGAGCTACTTTTTCCCTTTTTTGTTTTGTTATATATATATGTTCATATATTAATTTTTCGTTGAGCTTATTTGAGGGATCTCTTGTAGAGCAAATCTCTAACGTATTTCAAGGATCTAAATTATCTATCATTAAGGTCTTTCCTCAAAGATAATCTATATCAAAAATACCCAACTCCAAACCCATATGACCGTCCAATTTAATAGTAGTCGTTTAATGTTGAGAACTATATTTGTTATTTTCTTCATTGTAATTGGATGTCTAAATGATTTTAAATTTGTCTAATCTTAATCTTCTACAAGAATGATCTATGGATGATAATTTAAAATATAGACCATTTAGTTAAGTTGAACAACCAAGACATTATAGTATAATGTTTGGTAAATAATATTTGATCTGCTTGCCACTTAGTACTATAGTCTAGTGGTATTTCTCTTCACTTATAAGTTAGAGGTCTTAGGTTCGATTATCGCCAAAGACGAATTTGAACCAAATTATTGCTAGCCCATTCTCTTTATGTAGACAATATCGTTTGTTAAAAAAAAAAAAAAAATTGATCTGCTTGATTTTGTTTTACCATAAAAAGTTAAAAGGGCTATTTCGATTTTATCTCAAGATCGTATATTCATCTCCAAAGTTTTAAGTCGTCTAGGAATGAGGTCAGGTATGAAGTATTCAAACTACCCTCTGGCTTAATAAAGAATTGTAAATGAGAGATTGTCTTGATGAATAGAGTACGTACTCTTCTTCAACTTAATGCATTTCGGGTGTAAACTCGCTTACCCGCTCCTTAATATAGCTTATAGCAGTAATATATAAAGAAAAAATATATCAATAAAAAACTAAACTATAAGTTGCATTGATATTTACAATGACCCAACGAAGCGCGACATGACAAACAAATATATATGAAGATGACATAAAGTATGGAATTGGAGTTGACGATGTAAGAACTAGAAAATAAAAAAAAAGTTGCTTGTTTATTCCACTAGAGCGCAACGTGACAAATTAAGCGAACGACAAATTATTAGCAGTTAAGATTGTGACGAAATCATTATCATTGTTCATTTTTTTTTCATTAAAAATATTTTTGTTAGGGTTCACTCTTTGGAATTTCTCTTTGTCCCCATATTATTAGGAATTTATACATTCGATCATAATTAGTACAGCAAATTCTTAGTAGAACATGGATTCTTTTTATTTTTTAGAATGCTGATTAATTAAATAATAATCTCATGAAATATCTTATAAGATATTTGATATGATGATGCATTCAAATACAATGATGTAAACCTCTGAAATTTAACACACACAGACTTCTATCTCTCTGATAGATTAATTTGCTATTTCCAATATTGTTGATAATTTGTGGTTCTTAGGTGAGGCTAATCAAGGAGGAATTTGGATATGATGATGCTTTTAACTACCACACAGAGACAGATTTTGATGCTGCTTTAAGCAAGTAATCAATACTAATATTTAGATAAATTAGTATTTATGTGATGATTTTGATGAAGCGTCGTATATGAAGACTCATGTGAAAGGTTTCCTTATAATTTGCAGGTATTTCCCTAACGGAATTGATGTCTACCTTGACAATGTTGGCGGTGAAATGCTTGAGGCTGCTCTTAACCATGTCAATAAGCATGCAAAGATCCCTCTTTGTGGCATGATTTCTGGCTACAATAAGGTAATTTAATATCATTACAATTACTACCCTTTGTCTTCTTCATACGTGTAACTGTCATATACATAAAAAGACATGTTATTGGAAATTTATATATCTAGACATATATATATATATATATATATATATAATATGCACATGTTCGTCCGTTTCTCACCTGCAAAGCTCATCTATTTAATTTGTGCAGGTTTGGACTGAGAGAGAGGGGGTGAGGAATCTGCTGAATTTAATCGGAAAGGAGGTGAATATGCAAGGGTTCTTGGTGGGTTCATACCTGCATCGTTATGGAGATTTTGCAACCGAGATGGAGAGCCACCTAAAGCAAGGCAAGATTGGTTATTCTAAGCTCAAAATCTTCCATGGAATTGAAACATTATTGGAGAGCTTAGGATCCCTTTTCACCAGCTCTAATGTTGGGAAAGTAGTAATCCAATCCAAGTGATTTTATTGAGTTGAAGTAAATCTATGTTAAGGGCATTATTAATGCTTCATGAAAAGATTTTTTGTTTGGGAAATTGAAGTCTCTTGAATTAATTGTGAACTTTTTAAGAATTTAAAGGCGTTTGTACTAATTAGTTTCAATAAAATTATTTGCACACACGAAATTAACATACTTGTTGACACATTTGAATTGTATCCTGAAGATATCTCAGTATTCTCTTGACAGATGCAAAGTGTGATTCTGTTGGTGTAGACATAAACTAACATACTGAGTTAACTGCATACACAATATCTGACCTTGTGAAGGTCAAATACTGCAATGAACTAACTAGACTCCTATACAGTGTTGGATCTGTCAAAACAATGTCTTCTGCATCAAGTAATTGCTGATATGGTTTACATGGAATTGTTGCAGGTTTGCAGGAATCCATACCTACTTTGTGAATCAAATCTTTAATGTATTTAGACTGATTCACAAGTATATTTCCATTAGATTTGTAGTGAACTTGCAATTCTAAGAAATAGATGAGTTTCCCTATATCTTTGAGCTCAAACACGTAAGACAATTCTTGAATAACTTGTTGAACTTTTGAAGAGTTTGATCCTGTAAGTATGATGTCATCTCAATAAAGCAATAGGATTATCATATATGTACCATCTATTTTGACAAATAAACTTGTATCAGAAGGTGAAGCAACAAACTGTAAAGCTACCAAATAACTAGTGAATTTGGAATTCCATGCCCGTGGGGCTTGCTTCAGACCATACAAGGATTTGATTAACTTGCACTCATATATAGGATGTGATGCATCAACAAAACCCTGAGGTTGTTTCATAAACACCTCTTCTTGCAAATCACCATGCATAAATTCATTCTTGATGTCAAGTTGTCTAAGATCCCAATAATTTATTACAGATAAGGCTAGAATCATTCTAACAGTTGTATGCCTTACCACATGACTGAAAGTGTCTAATAATCAATACCATGCTCATATGAGAATCCCTGAGCCACTAGTCTTGCTTTATATCTTGAAATACTCCCATATAGATTCTTTTTAACCTTGTACACCCATTTACTCCCAACAATTGCCCTATTTTCTGGAGATGGTACCAAAGTCCAAGTTCCATGTGCTCTAAGTGAGTCATATTCCTCTTGCATTGTTGTATGCCGTTGTGGCAATGTTGCAGCTTTTCTGAATGATGAAGGCTCTAAAGCATCAACAATCTCATATAAGAAGGAAAAACCCCCAAAAAATGGCTCATCCTCAGTTAATTGTAGAGAATGCAATTCAAGACATGAGACAAGTAAAGCTGCATAATTCTTTCTAGGTAATGTGCCACTCTTCAATCTAGTGGTCATAGAATGTATGATTGATTGCCTGCAGGTAAATCAGTTTGTATAGAGACAGGAAGTATTACCTCAAGTTGTGTAACTTTGGAGATTATGCATTACCAGTTGAATCACACTATTGTGAATCTGATAACCCTTCATTACCATTTGAATCAGAAGTATAATCATTTGTCACTGATGTATTGTTTGAATCAACATTAGCCACTGTATAAATTTCCTGTGAATTATATCTATTGCTTGCTGAATTTCCAAGTGTGTCAGGCAAGTGAATTATAACATGAAACTATGTTGCTGCCTTATGATCTTCTATACTTCTTAAAACTGACTTACACAATTGCTGAAAAGGATACATATCTTCATTATGTACCACATGCCTAGACACAATAAACTTTCTGGATTTAATATCATAATAGATGACCCCATTAAACCCCAGAGCAAAACCCATAAACACACATTGAATGGCTCTAGGTTGCAGTTTATTAGCATTGAAGGGCTTGAGTAATGTATAAACAGCTGTTCCAAAGATCTTGAGATTATATATCTTAGGATTTTGTCCAAAAAGAACCTGATAAGGAGACTTCATATCTAAAATTCTACAAGGCATTATGTTAATTAAGAAAGCTGCATGTGAACAAGAGTGATATCAAAAGGATGTAGGAATTTGTGCTTCTGTATCAAAGTCAAAGCTGTCTCAACTAAGTGTCTATGCTTCTTCTCAGTAATTCCATTTTGTTAAGAGGTATGAGGACAAGACACTTGATAAGTAATTCCTTTATCTGCCAAAAAGTTCTTGAATATATTACTCATGTATTCCCCCTTCACCATCAGATTGGAGACATTTAATAGTGGCATTGAACTGATTAAATACAATACTTTGAAACTTGATAAATATGGAAAAGAAGTCTAATTTATTCATAATATGGTAAATCCATACAAACCTAGAGAAATCATCTATAAAACTGATGTAATACCTATAACCTTCTACGGATTTCTGAGGTGAAGGACCCCAGACATCTGAATGTACCTTCTAAAGCACAAATTTTGATCTCTCTTGTTTTACATGAAATGGAAGTTTACTCAGCTTGCCTTAAATAGAAGCAGAATATATAGAAAGAGATGAATCTATACTAACTGGTAATTGCGCACTCTGCATCATTGAACTCAATACTTCTTCTAAAGGGTGTCCCAATCTCCTATGCCATACTGAAGTCTTTACTTACTTCCCTATGAATGCAACACACTTTCCTAACTCTACAGCAAATGAATGAAAAAACACACTGACTGGCATCTTGAACAGCTCACCATCATCACTTGTTCCTTGGTACAAAATCATTCTTGTTGCCTTGTCTTGTATAAAGAAGATCAAATCATCACACACAAACCAATAATCATTATCTATGCATAACTTTTTAACTGACAACAGGTTCATAGTTATTTTGGAAACATGCAAAACATTTTGCAGAATTGGTGCATTAGATGGTGTTTTTATAATTGAAGATCCAATATGTTGAACTTGCAAACCTTCACCATTACCAACAATGATCTTAGCATCACCATTGTAAAGAACATCTTGATTGATGATATCAAGATTAGTTGTCATGTGGTGAGTGGCCCCTGTGTTCACTACCCATGTATCAACTGCAGAGAATTCATACACATTTGGATTGGAACGAATACCATTTGATCCTTGAGCAGTCATACTAGCAAATAATAGAAGTGGTAGGGGGTTGCCTTGATATGAGTAGTTGTTTCTATGATAACATTCAAATGTTATGTGGCCCATTTTTTCACAAATTTGACACACATTACCATTCCTAAATAATTGATTCTAATGCTGAGTACTTCTGTAATAGCAGTTAGGGGTAGTGTGCCATTTTCTAGAGCATATTTGACATTCTGGTGAAACTGAGGACCTGTAATTTGTATTGCCATGTCAACTAATTCCTTTTATTGAACCATTTCCAAAAAATGAACCATTTGAACCATTCCAACCAAAACTGTTCTAAGAACCTTTACTATTTGAACCATTACCACTTTCATGATTAGAATTCCCTGTCTGATCTCCAAAGTTAGAATAGGACTTGAAATTTTTGTTGTTACTTCCAGAATACCTCATGTTGTTGTAATTGTTTCTTTATTGTGGATGAAAACACTTCCCCTATTTCCAGCATAACCAGTTCCTACATGAAAATTTACTTCTCCTTGAGATCTTTAAGTATTAGAACTTTCTCCTTGTTCATACCTTGATAGCTTCCTTGATGTCCTTGTGAATTGGAAGGCTCACCTTGAACACACATAGCTGACATTGTATTTGACAGACTTGTAATCTTGGAATCAATATTTGCTTTAGCACCAAGAAGTTGTGCTTGAAAATCTTTCAAAGAAATTGATGTATCTCTTGCCAACAATAATGTTTTAATGACTTCAAAATTTGTTGGTAAATCAGACAAAACAACAGTCTTAAAATCATTATTTGTTATCTTTTTAGCATCTGACACTAACTGATTTCTTATCTTTTTCAATCTGAGTAATAACTTATCCACAGAATCAGCCCCTTTCTGTGCAGTATGAAATTATGTCTTCAATTGATTCACTCGCACCATCAAAACAAATGCAAACCTTTCTTGAAGACACTTCTATGTTTCTTGTGATGTCTTACAGACAATGACATGATCCATGGCCTCATCAGCAAGTGTTGCAATCAGTAAGCTTCATAGAGCTAAATCATTCTTGACCCATTCTTTGTAGGCTGTAGTAAGTTCCTTAGTGACACCACATTCAGGAGTGATGCAAAACTTTGGTGGACATTGAGATTCTCTATTAAAGAACTCAAACAAATCATAACCTCCAACAGCCAATTGGAATTGATAACTCCACTTGACAGAATTGTCATCTTGAAGCTTCACAGTTATCATTCCTAGTAAACTTTCAATCTTGACATTATTAGGCCCCATATCGAATCAAAGACTACAACTAATCAATTTTCACAATAAACAATCTTCAAAAAAGCAAACTTTACAGTAAATAGGCTTCACAGCAACAATCTTTACAATAACCAATCTTCACAGTAAATAATCTTCAAGAAAACTGTTAATTCACTTCTCAACTGAAATTCACAATTTTATTATTCAAGAAAATTATCATTTCTTTTGGCATTGGCCTCTAAACAACTTACTTCTGATAATTCTTTCTTCATGAAAATCTTATTACTCTCAGCATTAGCCTTAATCAATACAAACTTCATCAAACTTCAACACAATTCTAAGAAAGACTGACATTGATCTCAAAATCTTTCAGCAACTGAGCAATAATGGCTTTGGCCTCAAACAATCACACAAAAAAACTTAGAAAACTTGTCACTGTGGCAATTTATCAAACACTTGCAATGCATAAAATTCCAAGAACATAACCTGAGAAAGTGATAATCTTGAATTGAAACCCAGATGAAGAAACCTGGATATGAGCTCCCAAAAAAAATCTCCAGTCTTTAATGCTCAACAGAAGAAAATGGCACCAATGATTGTTTGGGTGATTGATACCATGATAACCAAACTAGAAAACTGAAATGAGTTACTAAAGCTAAAGAAATGTAAAGAGAGAAAGATGTTCACTCAATGAAGGATATAGAACCTCAATCCTTGATTACTTTC